TCTTCGTGCTCGTGATAATCTAGCATTAAAGTAGTCTTTATCTGTATCTCACTGTTGTTGCAAAGAGCTTATGGGGCGCTTAAATTGCTTTTCTCCGGTAAAAAACTACTAAATCAGCGTCTTAAGGTGCAATTGTGTGACACACTTGTCCTTTCTATTTTCAATTATGTTATTATTACTTTCTTTATATTTCAATTATCATTCCTGCTTAGATGTTGAGAGCGCGCGCCGCATCCAGGTTGCACAAAACGCGTATTTACGTTTCATATATGGTATTGGAAGGAGAAATAGCATATCTCATACTCTAGGTTGGGTTGGTTGGCTGGACATGTCTAGGCGTCGGTCGTTTATTTCATTCAATCTGTTTATACCATAAGATTATACAACATAGGTGTCCGCCATATTTATTTAAAAAAATTTCCTTTAGGACGGATGTACACAACATAAATGTTAGACATAAACACGTACTAACAATACCTAAACATAAATTACAGCTTTTTAAGAAATCTTTTACGTACTGTGTGTCTAACATATGCAATGACCTTCCGAATTATGTTTGGAAGAAGGGTGAATGGAGTTTCAGACGTTCGATGAGGCGGTTTTTACTTTGTGAATGGGCTGGGATGGTTAGATAACTTTGGGGGTTGTTAGTTGGCGATGGGCTGTGGCTAGGATTGCGGACGTGAGCTGGGATGACAGACTGCACACCTTCCGTATTGTTATATAGTTTGGGATATAAATTTATTTGTCATTTTAATTCATTTTTTAATTCAAGTTAAGTCTCTGGAGTGGAAGTTGGTAACTGGGGTATCTCAGTCTAACTGACTCAACTCTTTTTGGCAGTTTACCTTTATTAATTATTATGTTTATTAATTATTGATTTTTTATACACATTACGTTTTTGCATTGTGTAATTAAGCTGTTTGTTCTTCTATATTATGTAAAATGCTGCCAATAAACATTATTATTATCATTCGGGTTTAGCTATCTTTAGAAAAGTGCGGCTAAACCCAAATGATAGGTCTTAAGACGCACGACTAAACCCGAAACTTTCTAGTTCTACTTTTAATTGTTGTGCAGCGCAACACCAAGAACTAGAATCATTCCTACAACATTGTAATTCCGGGCCTATTTTTCAGGTGTTTCAGTCATGACTAGAGTCCGGAATTTATGCAAATTGCATATTATTTCCCGTTGATAGTACGATTAAATGCTTTCGGATCTAGACGAATTACGTGAATAGGAATTGAATGACGCCTATTAATTTTTACACATTTGGCATATTTCTAAGTTTTTCGCATATTTTTGCATATTTTCATATATTTTACAGTATTATAAGTTTTGAAAGTACAACGTCGATTCCTTATTTATTATTTGAGATTTAATTCATATTATGGTCAATCGTCGCGACGTACTGTCGGGCGTCGCACGTTCGTCGAGGGCCCGTCGTTTTTGGCGACTTAGGCCCGATGCGGGTCTTTATGTAGCTGGTGTCTACAATAAAAAATGATGTCCACGAAGTTAAATTTATTTGAAAACACATTCTACGAGTCGATCTTAAGCTGTTCGGATCTCTTTTTAGTTTTTGCTTTGTATGTACAAACTTTTAAGTATTTCAAAAATGCCGAAGGTGAAAAATTATTTGGTGATGTCTTGGATAAAAGCAATTCCTGAACTTATTCTGCAAGAAAAAAATGTGTTTTTTAACCCTTTCGTTACGGAGTATTTTCAAGATCATTTAGCAAGCCCACATATACAAAAACGTATGCGTACGCTCTTAGTAACGAAAGGGTTAAAGCATGTGGTAAAACGGTAAATTTATATTTGTCATATTTTTCAATGTAAATTTAAATAAAACTAATAATTACACTTTATAGAGTCTAGATTAAAATTATAATCCATTCTACCAGTTTGAATTGTAGTTGCGGGTGTAAATAATGGAAACGTACTCCTATACCCACTGACCAATTAAAGAACTGAGAACGTTTCCATTATTTACACCTGTAATTTAAATCACGCTTTTATTTAAGTCATCCTTAAGATTGTTGTTGTAATTTTGAATACTTTTCTTAATCTATTTTATTCCATGGATTTTATATTAAATTAACTTTGTATGGCTAAAGTCGATTCCAAAATGTTTGTTTCCTACTCTTAAGCTTTTGTTGCAAGTTGCTTGTGACCGCAAATCTCAGATCACGCAACATGTTGCTACCGATTTACATAAGAAAAAAACTAAAATGGCTCAACAATCTTTGAAGCAAGCTATTCAACCAGAAACAACCAAAAATGAGCAGCAAATATTTAATGCAGGATTATGCAAAGCCTTTTTGGCAGTCAACATTCCATTTCAAAAATTGCAAAATCCTGAATTAAAAAAATTTTTAGAACAGTATTCTGGGCGTACTGTACCGGATGAAAGTACTTTGCGCAAGGGCTACGTAAATGAGGAGTATGTTAAAATAATTAGGACTATCAAAGAAGTAGTCAAAAACCACTACGTATATTTAATAGTTGACGAAACTACCGATTGTTGTGGAAGATATATTGCGAACTTGGTGATAGTTGAGTAGCAGAGGAAATTAGGAATCAATTTCCAGACGTAAATGCGTTAATTAGCAATGTAAAAAAAATATTTTTGAAGTCTCCCCTCAGGATCCAATTATATAAGGAAAAATTGCCTAATGTTAATCTACCACCAGAGCCTGTCATTACACGGTGGGGTACCTGGTTAAATGCTGCAACATTTTATGCCTTACATTTTACGTCTATAAAGGAATTAATCATGGATTTTGAGGAGGAAAATAATCAAGCAATTAAAAAATGCAAAGCACTATTAAAAAAAGCGACATTAGGTTCAGAATTAGTGTTTATTCAAAGTAATTATGAGTTTGTCAGTAGGATTATTTTAAATTTAGAAACGCAAGCAATGTCACTAAATGAGTCTATTGGATTAATAGAGGAATTTGAGACTGGTGTTAAAAAAGTAAATGGTAAAGTAGGCGAAATTATTAATAAAAAGTTTTATGAAGTATTAGAAAAAAATCACGGTTATATATTGTTATCAAAGGCGGCTAAAATAATTAGTGGATATTTAAGCGATCAGGTTAATATTGAGCCAAATTTAATTAGCAACTTTAAATATGCACCCATAACATCTGTAGATGTAGAGAGGAGTTTCTCGAGCTACAAACAGATACTGTCTGATAGACGACGTAACGTCTTAGTTGAGAACATTGAAAAATATATAATTGTAAACTATAACATTACTGCATTTTTAAAAATATATTTTATTTAGTTGTATTTTTTTAAATTTTAATAAATAGAGTTTTTAAATGTTTAGATGTTATTTTGAATTGAACCTATTAAAAAAATACCGACTTTATATATAAATTAATATACTATTTTAACAGTAGTACAAAATGTATGCATATTTTAATATAAACTTTGCATATTTTTATATGAAATTTGCATATTTTCTTATATTTACTCCATATATATGCGCATATTTTGCATAAAATTCCGGACTCTAGTTATAATAAATATAATAATAATAATAATATAATAATAAATATACGTATTAGAAAAGTACGTATATTAAATTATAATAATGTAGTAGAAATAGAATAATTTAGCTTGGGTTGGGTTATACCTGAAAGTCACAAAACGTGACGTCACATCGAAACTTTAATGTGATTTTTCGATAGATTCTCAACTTTTCCACATTTTCCTTTTACTTTTAACGTGTTTTTCGGGTCATTTCACATTGATTAAAAAAAAAACGTCGATTAAGCACATAAGCACATAATGATTCTTCAATTTTTCCAACTAAAATATTAATTTTTATAGGAAAACATGATATGCAAATGTGCGAGTTATCCTTAGATGAAACCGGGTTAACTCGCAAACAAGGAAATGAAATTCTTGAGAACGAATTTAATAGGGAGTGGGAGAAAAACGGTGGAAGACCCTACTCCCGACCTGCGGATAAAAAGACAAATTAAAAGAATTATTTAAAATAAATATTAGCATAGGACGATCATAAAGGTAATAATTATTTAGGAACCATGTGTTGATAAAATTAAATTGTTTTTAGGTTTATTAAAGTAGAGGATTGACTGTTTTAAAAGTGAAGTGAATAAATGGGAAGGAATACATTTTTTATTTCACCATGAGGATAGTATAGGTTATAAAAATGGTTTTAGTGGGAAAAAAACTCATATTAAGGTTTTATCATAACTTGGTAAATAATTATAAATATTTACCGGCGAGACGATAGCAACAAACCGCTCAGCAACAAACTTTTTCATTCAATTTACCTCAGAATTACCAAACATCACGGCCTTGTGCAGCCGTTACCAGATGGAAATTTAATAAATGGCTTACATATTCGGAAAGAGCTGACCTTGGATTATCTTATTCCGAGTTTTCGTCCGTCAATATCTATCAGCGTCTGTAAGAAAAACGTACCTGAAAAAGCCCCTACCGATGAAAACACGCAAATATTTCTTGCACTAATAACTTTCCTATTTGACAGGGATAAAACTCTACAACTATATTCAGCTTATGGGAAATTTCCCATAAGATAGTTGTAGTAGATTTAAGATAGTCCAAGGTCAGCTCTTTCCGAATATGTAAACCATTTGTTGAATTTCCATCTGGCAACGGCTGCACAAGGCCGTGAAGTTTGATAATTTTGAGTTAATTTGAATGCATCGGGACGTTTCTTATTTTTTCTTGCTCTTATTATCAACATATCGGCGGACGGTTTATGATAGAGAAAAGACCAAGCTTTCCAACCGTGTGCTTAGCTTTTTGCTATCTTTCTAGATAACGAAGATATGGGCCCTAGAAGTAGGTGGAAATATAAAGAAAAAAGTTTGTTGCTGAACGGTTTGTTGCTATCGTCTCGCCGGTTAAATATTTAGGATTTAAGTGTAAATAAAATAAGTGTATACAAATGTCTTATATATATTAGTAATAAATCAAGTAATTAAAACAGACTTTTTTTAATACATCGGCATTTATTGTAATCAATTTTTGAATACAGTTAATTTAAATCTAAAGGGTCAAAATGGGGCGAAATCTATTTCGTAATAAACACAAAATGTTGAAATTATATTTTCGCACACCGCACGTGTTCGAAATTGCAAAAAATAAGATAAGGAAGACCTTAATTAATATTAGATTATCGTTTTCAGCTGATAACTGTTTTCATAATAACAACTTATAGAAACGTCAATATGTACATCATCTTTGAAATAATGAGCACTTTTTCCATTGGAAACTCTGGGTTCTTTTGTAAATATTCCGAGGAATCTAAACAAAAAGATTATTAAATTTAATTTAGGTTAAAGTAATAAAATTAAAATCCTTTTTTTTTTAATTAAAACTCTTAAGCGAAATGAAAAAAAGGCAAAAAATATACAACCTGTATTAAAAGACCAGTTTTTCTGAGCCGACACATCAGTATCTACGGGACGATTTCTTACCCCTACCGCTACTGCGCGACCGGGACCTCTTCCGTTTTGATGATCTCGATCTTCTCCGCGATCTCGACCTTCTCCTTCTTCCGTAAGACCTCGATCTTCTTCTCGAATTCGACCTCGACCTTGATCTCTGTTTAGATCTTGACCGTTGTTTCGACCTCGACCTCTGTTTCGATCTTGATCTCTGTCTAGATCTCGATCTTTGATTAGATCTTGATCTTTGTTTCGACCTCGATCTTTGTTTAGATCTGGACCTAGATCGTGACCTTGAAACTGAAGGTGACCTAAGACGTCGATCACGCCTTAAAGATAACTTTCGTGATCGTGAATTCGATCTAGATCTTAATCGTTTCCGGTCGTCTGATCGTCGCCTTTCCGTTGTTGATCGATACTTTTTGCGATCTTTCGACCGACTTCGACTTCGCGAAGGTGTCGAAACGGAGTCCGATGAGACGTATTTTGGATTATTGTTGTCTTTCGATAAGGAATCACTTGAGGAAGAAACGCGACGATTTCGCTTAGAATTTTCTAAAAATTTATTACATTAAAAAACGAACATTAAAAAATACAGTAAAACCTCGATATAACAGTTTAATACGGCGAAGGGAGTTTTCAAGTTTTAAATTTGCACTTAAACTGTTTGAATGATTCATTTTAATGCACACAATTTTGCCGTTTCCAACCAATTTTCATCGATTTCTCGCCCCGTGATAAGTTTTAACTTGTTGTACTTATTTACCGTCCCGTCTAAATACATCCTAAACACAAATCAAGGTAGTTTCGATTATATATGTTACAGTCAAAACTCGTTCTCCGTCAAAACTAGTTTTAACCATAGAAATCGGTCAAAAATAGTTTTGACTGCAAGCTTCGGTCAAAATTCGTTTTGACTGATATAATATATCAGTCAAAAGGAAAAGGAAGGGAAAAGGCTGTCTAAGTTATTGTTTCTAAATTCTGTACTCAATAAATAATGCTGTTGTTTTTAAATTCACTAAAGTACATACTCATAAATAAATACATACATAAGTAAATAAAAGTAAGTAGTATATAAGTTATGTATTTTACTCATAATACATTTTAATAACTGGATTTTTGATTTTATTTGATGGCCTTGTATTTCTGTTATAGTTATTAATATTAGTACAGGGTGCATTTATCTAGCCTTTTATGATAACTTTAGATAGTTATATTGAAAAAGCTAAAAAAAACATCGATGTTTTCCGTGCTGATGTTTTTGACATCGATATTTTTTGTTAAACATCGATACATCGAACCATCGATGTTTTTCTTCACGATGTTTGCATCCCTAAGCCAAAGTCAAGGTTCTGTTGAACGAGCCAACCAAGATGTGGAAAATATGTTGGCCTCTTGGATGCAGGACAACAAAACAACTAACTGACTCTAATGGGCTCAGATTGGTTCAATTTATGAAGAACAGAGCATTTCATTCTGGCATAAAACAATCTCCATATCGAGCAATGTTTGGATCTGAACCAAAAGTGGGACTAATTACATCGAATTTACCTTTAGAGGTGATTAGTAAACTAGAAGATTAAGAACAATTGCAGTTTGCAATCACTGAAATAAATCAGAATTTGAAACACAACAAAGAAAACGAAAATGGAGAAGAAAATGACGAATATTACAAGGAACATGAAGGAAATAAAATAGAAAAGGAAGGCGAAATTGCTGAGGTAGAGAAAGATCAAGAGAGAGCCACACCTTGTACTAGTGATGAATTATTAATACTAACAGCAAAGAAAGATGCTCATTACAATTTGGCAAAGCAGGCGGAAAGAATGAAAAAATCAAGTGATCAATCACATCCACCATTGAATGTCGGAGATAACGTTACTACTATATCAGTTCCAGATGTGGACAGAGGTAATATTATTGAAATTGTACTAGAAGTGAGTTCAGAGCAACTATATAAGATTGGTACAAGGGATGGCATATTGGACAAATTATACTGCAGGTGAATACTCATACATACAAGGCCAGCCATACACAGGTAATATTAAGTCTGCTATAAGCAATGACTGCATGGCGAACCTCGGATATACTACGCCAGTCGCCCGTGTATGATCGGCTTAAGAAGACGTAAATGTGTATGGCCGTAGGGGCGTCAGTTGTGAAATAGTTATTTATATTACAAGTGGGCTAGAAACATAATTACAGTACGAGTGTGGAGAATTGCACGACGAGGTCGTAGACCGAGTCGTGTAATCACACGAGTACTGTAATTATGCTCTAGCCCACGTGTGATATACAGCATTTTATCTACGACTGCTAAAAATTACTAAAAATCAATTTCTTTAGAAAAGTCTATTTGACATTTATAAAAATATTTTGAAATGATTGTTGACAATTTTGAATTGTCAATTTAAACAACATATTTACTCATCTGGAATAAGTGTTTTGAAATGTAAAAACCTAACAATTAATGTTTATAATAAATAGTATTGTTTCTCTGTAAGTAGACAGTACTTTTTCTTTTGTATTGTTGCTCGTTTCAATAAATTAAGTCTGTTCTGAATAGGCTAAAAATGCGTTACGTAATGAAACCAGTGCGGTAATGAACTTCATTACGTAACTCAAATCACCTCAAATGAGTGCGGTAATGATGACTTATCCAAGCAGTCGTAGATAAAATGCGTTTATTTTTATGATTTTCTTCTTTTTCTTTAATAGGTCAGAATTTGATGGCTGTAGCGAAAAATTCATCCGTCGCGATGAAGTGCCAAACGTTACGATTACTTTAAGAACTGCTGTCAGGAAAGCTTCTATAGGAACAGGGCAAGGTTATGCAAGATGTGTTTGTTTTAAAGGTTGTACCAATGATAAATGTTTATGTAAGAAAAAAGGACTATTATGTAATTCTAAGTGCCATAATAGTTTAAGTTGCGCAAATAAATAGTTTCGTTTAGATGCCTGTAAGATTTATTTAACCAAGATTTCACGCAAAAAAAAAACATAAAAAAAACAGATGGTTTTTCTTCCTTTCCTGTTGGTTAAGCATCCACACAAGTCTATCTCTCACCTACTAATGCTTCTGCTCTCCCCCTCTCGTCTCCTCTAACCGAAAAAGAGTTTTGCCTAGCAATTACTGGTGAATATACTTTTGACTAACGCTCTCAGTCAAAATTCTTTTTGACCGGTATTTTTCAGATAAAAATAGTATTATCAGTCAAAACGTATTTTAACCGTAGACTGCTGTGAAAACTAGTTATAACTGAATTTTGTGGTCAAAACTAGTTTTGACCGAATACGCGTTTTAACTGTAACATATAACAATTCCCGCATGAATCACAACAACGGGGATGGAAAGCCGCCCCCTAAACTGGATCATACAAGCAAGGTTCGTTGAGTATTGGTACAATTGTTTACTCGACGAACCTTGCATACAAATTCCTTAGATGACGATAAATACAAAAATTTAAAACAACTGTTCGATGATATATGTGCAAACATCCATAATTTAGATTTAGCTAACTTTACCGACATAACCTTTAAGAGAGAATTTTTGTTGCAATCACGAATAGCCATTTCGAACGGCTTTTACACCAATGATAAAAGAAATAATATTGTGTCCCACAAAAAGTAATCGAATTATGGAGCGGCGTTCTTAATAATAATGGTATTCAACTTGTAATAAAACCAAAGACTTGTATACAGTTAAAGATTGCCCACCATTTGTGGCATGTATCGAATCTGTCAGGCCAAATGAGGGATTTAAAAATAGGAAAAATGCTGTTCCACAGTACAATACAGGGGATTAAAAAGCGAGAAAAACGAGGCCCAAACAAATTTCATTAACTCAGATGTATCTACAAAAAATGGACGGAGGATGTTTATACCAAGTCATAGGATAACGTGTAAGGGAATAATAAGACAGATCGACCCAAGCTTTTCCGAAGAAGAACTGCTCATTTATTTACGAATAGAAGACGATGAATCAATTACACACGTACGAAGATTATCAAGAAGAATCGCAACAGAAGAGGGTCCAAAATATATCAAGCCCGCATCAGTAATAGTAACTTTTAGAAGTGTCAACTTGTCAAAATTGGTTAAATTGTTCTATTCAGTGCGCTATTCCGAACCGTATATGTCACCAGTTATGCAATGTTTTAACTGCATGAGGTATGCCCAAAAAATACAAAAAATCAATGCCGTTGAAATAAAAAATGTCCAGCTTGCGCCAATGCTTATACATTAGAATAGTGTCAGAATGGAAAGAATCCAAAGTATCAATTCTGTGGTGGAGACCACCTCAGTAACAAAAGAGGAACACCATTAGCGAACAGAAAATGTCCTGAATACCTAAAACAAGTCAAAATAAAGGAAATCATGACACGATTTAATTGCTCGCCATTTCAGGCTGTGGAAATGGCTGGTCCCAGTAAGTCACCAACGACGACCCTGAGGATTATTGCACAAACTCCAGTGGATAACAAAACATTCCCCTTCTTAAAGACTAAACCAGTACACATAAGCAAAGTTACATTACATTCATCTAATGAAAAGCAAAAGAGCTCAAAAACTACATCATATAAGAAAACCATTATCTCACCGAAGAAAACTAGAATAGACGATGAAAACGAAAAATTGATGTTCCGGAGGACTCCTCTGCACAAATAATTGTGATAAGAGACAGGCACCAGCTCTTATGGCTTCAAGTCAAAACATAAATCCAGTTTTTATCACCAAATTAAGTCTGTCAGTCGTCTGGAAGGGTAGAGGATGACATGGAATATGAAGATAGTGGAAAAACCCTCGGAACAAGAAGCAATGTGAGCCCTCAAGTAGACCTTGATAAGAACTATGACGACAGACAAAAGCAACAAAATATCTTCGATCATTCGTACGCTCACCATAACTATTATAATATTTTAAGTAATGATTAATTCCACTTTAAAAATTATGACATAGATTTCTAGAAGCTCTGCGAAGAATATACCAAGGGTTATATAACCGTACAGTTTTTGACCACAACAAACAATTTCAAATGGACACCGAAATCATAAATATAGACACATCAGGATGTACTGAACTTCTAATCATGAAAGAATTTGAAAACTCACTTAACAATAGAAAGGACACGGTAGCTGAAGCTGATGGTATATCATACGCAATAATCAAAAATCTCTCTGCAAATTATAAGGTAGCAGAAGGATGAAAAATGGTATTGATTGTTCCAATTCTTAAACCCCACAAAAATGTAAACGACGGTAATAGCTATCGACCTACATCCTTGCTATCATGTGTTAGGAAAAGCTTCGAGCGCATGGTGGCGGACAGGCTTGAATGATGGTGTGAAAATAAGGGAGTATTTGATAGACTTCAGTTCGGTATTAGAAAAGGCATACGAAAATAAAGACATAAGAAAATAAATCATTGCTAGCGATTTTTATTGACATCAAATCGGCCTACGACAATATCCACATTCCCAACTCTCTAGAATAATCCACCAACTATTCGCAGAAAAACATCTGAAATTAAAAAATGATCCGAACAAAGTTGGA